GTTACTCAGAAGCCATTCCTTAAATACTTCTGTTTAAACTCATCTGATGGTAATTTTTAGGTACTGCATACAACTTTTGGTATTGGAGGAACACACGATAGGACATGTATTGTAGTCCTGCTCTCTCTCTTTTTTTAAATAAACTAATGAATGCTAGAGCTCTCTGTGAAATAAACTTACTGTAATTTCTTCCAGTTTACAGCTTAAAATCCATGATTCATTTTTCTCATAGCTAATATCTAATCTGTAGCAAACCAAAGATCTGCCTTCAGATTATACCAGAATCTGATCACTTCTCATCAACTTCACTGCTACTATCATCATTTAATCCAGTGTCATTTCTCAGCTAAATTATTATAAGAGCTTTTAGTTTTACAGTTGCTTTCCTTTAGTCTTCTTTCAATGTATAAGGTAGAGTGATCTGGTTTATCGCTTTGTCACATTGGGCCATTCTGTTCTAAATTGCCCAGTAAATTCTTGCTTTATTCACTGTAAAATCCAAAGTCCTTAACATGTTTCAAGAGAGGTTTTTGTTTTTTTTTTTTTTTTTTTTTTTTAACGTGTATTTATTTCTGAGAGAGAGACATACATAGGCAGAGTGCGAGCTGGGGAAGGGCAGAGAGAGAGGGAGACACAGAATCTGAAGTGGGCTCCACGCTCTTAGCTGTCAGCACAGAGCCTGATGTGGGGCTCAAACCCATGAACTGCGAGATCATGACCTGAGCCAAAGTCGGATGCTTAACTGACTAAGCCACCCAGGTGCCCCCCCCTTTTAATTTAATTTAATTTAATTTTTTTATATGGCCCCTTATTATTTCTCTGGCCTGATCTTTAGTATTTTCCCACTTGGTTATTCTACTCTACACTGACCACCTTGGTAGTCTGAACATATCAGGTATACTCCTGCCTCAGGGCATTTGTACTTGCTCTTACTTTTTGGTTGCTGTTTTTCCAGATTTCTGTGTAGATTGTTTCCCTCTTACTTTGAAATAGTTACTCAAATGTCAGCTTCTCATTGAGGCTTCTCTTACTATTCTGTCTAACCCAATCTAACATTTCCTATCCTCCTCCCCTGCTTAATTTTTTCCTTATCTTTGTCTCTATCTAACCTTATCATATAAGGTCTACCTTATCTTGTTTATTGTCTGTCTTTCCCACTAGATTATAGAACCATGAGGGGATTTTTGTTTATTCACTTCTTTGCCCTTGGTATCCAGAACAGTGTCTGGTATGTAGTCAGTACCTAATATGTAATTTGTTGAATGTATGAATGTTTAAAAATTTTGGAATTTCTGAGAAAGTATTGATAGGTATTTACAGTTGATTCTTCTACGTGCTGGGGCCAACTTTAAAATGTTCATTGGTGGCACTGATGGAAGTCTGGACTAAGGTCAGTCTCTTAAGACATTCTGCATCTTGCTTCTAAGCCTGAGTTAATGCAGCATAACAGATATGATGGTATTATTACTTAAATTTATAAACATACTGGGGCGCCTGGGTGGCTCAGTCGGTTAAGCGTCCGACTTCAGCTCAGGTCATGATCTCACGGTCCGTGAATTTGAGCCCCACGTCAGGCTCTGTGCTGACGGCTCAGAGCCTGGACCCCGTTTCAGATTCTGTGTCTCCCTCTCTCTCTGACCCTCCCCTGTTCATGCTCTGTCTCTCTCTGTCTCAAAAATAAATAAACGTTAAAAAAAAAAATTTAAAAAAAATTTATAAACATACTTTGGGAACAGAAAGGTCTTTTTCCCCAAATCTTTGTTGTTGTTGTTGTTTATTTATTTTGAGAGGGAGCACATGCACGAGTGGGGAGGGGCAGAGAGACAGAGAGAGAGAAGGAAAGAGAAATCCCAAGCAGGCTTCATGCTGTCAGTTCAGTGCCTGATGACGCATGGCTCAATCTCATGAATCCTGAGATCATGATTTGAGCTGAAATCATGAGTTAGATGCTTAATTGACTGAGCTACCCAGGTGCTCCATTTTTCCCCAAATTTTAAACATGATTTATTAGAAGAGCTGTTTAAAAAGTTGGTATGCGGGGTTGGACTCTTGTTTTCGGCTCAAGTTACCATCTCATGGTTCTTGCTTGGGATGGAGACTTGTGTCAGGCTCTATGCTGACAGCACACAAGAGCCTGCCTGGGATTTTCTGTCTAACTCTCTCTCTGCCCCTTCCCCCACTTGTGTGCACTTGCTCACTCTCTTTCTCAAGATAAGTAAATAACAAAAAAAAAATTCTGCTCTATGAAACCCACTGTTAAGAAATGGAAGTATTAGCCACAGATTGGGAGAATATATTTGTAAAAGACATATCTCATAAAGAACTTTTATTTAAAATATACAAAGAACTCTTAAAAATAATAAGATTTAAAAAATGGACCAAAGACCTCAACAGACACCTCACCAAAAAAGACACATAGTATGGAAACCAATTTGACAATTAATTTCATATTAAAAAAAAACACATAGATGGCAAATAAGCATATGAAAAGATGCTCTACATCATATATCATCAGGGAAATGCAAATCAAAACCACAAGGTGTCACTATATGCCTATTAGAATGGCTAAAACTTAGAGGACTGACAACACCAAATGCGAGGAGGTTATAGAGCAACAGGAACTCTTATTCTTTGCTGGTAGGAATGAAAAAATGGTGTAGCCACTTTGGAAGACAGTTTGGTGATTTCTTATAAAACTAAACATATTCTTGCTGTATAATTTAACTAGGCACCCATTGATATTTACCCAAAGGAGTTAAAAGCTTATGTAGACACAAAAACCTGCACTTGAATGCTTATAACATCTATATTTATAGATGCCAAATCTTGGATGCAACCAAGATGTCCTTCAGTAGATGAATGGATAAGTAAACTGTGGTACGTCCAGACAGTGGAATATTATTCAGCGTTAAAAAGAAATGAGCTATCAAACCTTGAAAAGACGTGGAGAAATCCGAAAGCCATATTACAAAGCAGAAGAAGCCAATCTGAAAAAGCTACGATACTGTATGATCCCAAATATGACATTCTGGAACAGACAAAACTGTGGAGGCAAGATAAAGATCAGTGATTGTGGATGAGGAGAGAGAGATGAATAGGCAGAGCAAAGAGGATTTTTAGGAGAGTGAGAAATAATCTGTATTATAATGATGAATATATGTCATTATACTTGTGTTCAGACCCATAGAATGTACAACATGAAGAGTGAACCATAAGGTTAACTGTGGACTTTGTTGATTTTGATGTGTCAGTTTAAGTTCATCCCCGGGGCTGGTGGCGGGGGGTGGGGGGAGTGTACCATTCTGGTGAGTGATGTTGATAATGGCAAAGGCTGTGCATGTGTTTGGATCAGAGAATATATGGCAAATCTCTGTACCTACCTGTTAATTTTGTTACAAACCTAAAACTGCTAAAAAAAAAAAATAAAGTCTTTAAAAAAAGGAGAGGGCATAAACATACCTTCCACTCTGGGTTTTGAGCCTTAAGACATCTGCCTCAGCAGCCAGTGACCAACTGTACTTGAGAAGTAAAATCTGTCCTTTCCACATCTGCTCTTCAAAACCCTTCATCCACAACTGGGATCAGCCTACACAGTGCATCCACACGCTCTTGGGAGGGACCCCCAACCCTGGTTTCTTAACTCCCATCAAACAGGAGCAAGATGGACTTGGTTTCAAAAGAGAAATTACCAAATCCCCGCATTTGGGAGAGCTCTTTTTTCTCATTCCAGCAGAGAGAGGCTGACAAAACCAGTGCCGTTTAAGCCAACACACTGTATGTGGTGAAACTCTGAGCATGTGCAATGTTCTGATTTTATAACTTTTTTTTTTTTTACATGATTTCACATTCTAAGATAGTAGCTATGCCCAGGAAATTTTTCTTGAAGAAGTGGGTGAATTTTCATTTTATAATTTAAATGTCATGTATTGTCAGTAGGGATCTGATTTGTATGCCAGTAACAGAAAACTTGATAAATACTGCCTTAAACAAGTGAGAATTTACTTTTCTTATGTAATGTGAAGTCCAGAGTTAGGCAATCCATAGATGATGAGATTGCTCAAGGATGTCATCAAGGAACAGTATCCTATTTTTCTAGCTTACCGTTTTTTGTCTTCTTGGTCAGAAGATGGCTGTTGTATCTCTAGAGACGTTATCAGAGGTTTCCGAAGGGAAAAGAGGCAAGGATAAAGGGACATCTCATTTTACAAGACTTTGTCTTTTTCTGGTAGATAGTGGCCTCTCAGATTGATAACTACCTTTTGTTAGCCAGAACTCTGTGGTTATGTTGGTACGATTTGGTATTTAACTTGCAGTATCTGGAATTAGTATAGAATAGTGGTTAAGAGCATGGAGCTAAGTTTGAAAATTGTTACTTCCTAACTGTATGACATCAACATCTTTGTGCCTCGATTTCCTCATTAAATAGGTCTAGTAATATGTACCTACCAACACTTTTGTTGAAAAAATTACGAATTAATATTATTTTAATGGATACCATTTGTACTTTGTAAGTATTAGCTATAATTACCATCTTCCTTATCTAGAAGAGTTATTGATAATGGAATTGTAAGTTTGCCACTCAGGAAACTAGTGTGTTTTTTTTTTTTTTTTTTTTTTTTTTTTTTGAAATAGGAAGTAAAACAGCATTTGAGTTAGGTGCTTTTGAGTATAGGGATGATTGTGAATGGTAGTAGAACTCCTAAGGACTCTTGTGACTGCATTGCATTATTAAAAATTAAAAAGTATTGGGGCCATTTTAATTTACTCATTTAATTGAACTTAGATCTTGGTGACTTAGACCTATCTTGAACAAATTGTTACTTTACCACCAATCCCTTAAAGTACCTTCAACTCAACAGAAATTCTGTTTCATTGATAGAATGTTTGAAGTCTTAGCTATATATTGAAATACGATTTTGTTGGTATTGTTACTAGCCTTGTCAATTTGTAATCACTCTGCTGGAAAAAATGTGTCAATTATTTTCCTATTTTCTTTTTAGCCCTATCTGCTTTGATATGATTGAGGAAGCATACATGACGAAATGTGGCCACAGCTTTTGGTAAGATGATTTCATTTAGCAAAATTGTCTTGATTTTTAACTTGTGTGTAAATGTAGCCAGCAAGAAGTTATGTTTTTAAAATAATTTTGGTTATTTTGTAATTTCTTTGATTGATATATTTTTACAGGTTCAACAGCTCAAGTCAGTAAGCATATGGTTGGTGCATAATTTTTGTGAAATTTACTATTTGTAAATTTCACTATTTGTAATTGTGAAATTACTATTTCACAATTTTACTATTTACAAATTTACTATTTGTAATTGTGAAATTTACTATTGCCCTTATAGATGGATTTTAAGACTTTTGGGTTGATTGCTACAGAGCTTTGATTACCATTTTAGAAAATTGGGGTTGTTGGATAATTAGGTTGAAGCATGAAACACCTTTAACTCATTTTGGGGATAGGTGTGAGGCCCAGGAAAGGAGGTTAGAAAGTCATTCGAAAAGGATCTAGGGGATTAAAAAGATCTGTGTTTTCTATTTTAACATTTTACTCAGTGTTATCTTTAGTTGCTTAGTCTTGTATATATGTCACATTCATCTGTATATTGAAAAAAGTTTTAGTGGGGGTAAAATACACATAACATAAATTTTACCATCTCAAATTTTAAGTTGAGTACTGTTAAGTTTGTTCACATTGTTGTGCAATTAACCTCCAGAACTTTGTTATTTTGCAAAGCTGAAACTTACCCTTACTTGAAGGGTTTCTCCCCTTCCCCTACCTAGCCTCTGTCAGTCACCATTTTACTTTGTTTCTGTGAGTTTGACTATTCTAGATATTTCATGTAAGTGGCATCAAATAGTTATTTGTATTTTTGTGACTTGCTTATTTCACCTAGCATCATGTCCTCAAGTTTCATCCTTGTAGTATATGTCAGTTTCCTCCCTTTTTAAGGCTGAATAGTATTCCATTGTGTGTATATAATATTTTATTTGTTTATTCATCTGTCTGTTAATGAACACTTGATTGCCTTCATCCTCTAATTCTTGTTAAGAGTGGTGCTTTGAACATTGGTATATAAATATCTCGAGATCCTGGTTTCAGTTCTTTTGGGTATATACCCAGAAGCAGAATTACTGTATCATTGGGTAGTTCTGTGTTTAATTTTTTGAGGAACCTCCATACTGTTTTCCATAGCTGCTATACCATTTTATATTTCCCCTAGCAGTACACAAGAGTTCCAATTTTTCAACATTCTAGCCAACACTTGTCATTTTCTGTTTTTTTTTTTTTTTCTCTTTAACAGTAGCTATCCTAATGGGTATGTAATCTGTGTACGTTTAATTTATTTTTACTTATTTTTTCGTGTAAAAAATTTTTTTTAATGTTTGTTTATTTTTGGGGGGGAGGGGCAGAGAGAGAGAGAGGGAGATACAGAATCTGAAGCAGGCTACAGGCTTTGAGCTGTCAGCACAGAGCCCGATGTGGGGCTTGAACTCAAGATCCATGAGATCATGACCTGAGCTAAAGGTCTAACTGAATGAGCCACCCAGGCGCCCCTTTTATGTGCTTTTTTGATTGGAGATGGTGTATTCTATTTCTAGTCAATCATCTCCATAAATTTACGCTGTTGATGTATTTTTGGCTTAGTATTTCTGTTGTGTTCTAATAGTCCCTATATTCTAATTCATGTTGAAGTTAGACTCCTGATTTTATTCTGAAATAGAGTACAGTATCTGGTAGATTGATATTCATTAGTCAGGGGTGTCATTTTGTAAGTACTTTAGGTTGATTTGGAGCATGATGCATCACTGATAGGTGAATCCAATCTGCCAGTCATTTAAAAAGAAGTTTAGAATAAAAATAGCTTTCTTGGCTTGCACGGTTTTTTATTAAAATACAAGTTACTAAAATAGGCCATATGTACTCTTGGTTAAAAAACTTTTATTGTCCAGAAAGATGTACATGAAATGTAAATGTCACCATTTTTCAAGCCTTATTTGTATACCTTTTCGTAAGTTATCACCAGTAAGGAGTGATGGTGTATTCTTTAGAATTTTTTTTTGCCGGTTTTTAAATAAAGGCCATCTTTCCTTAAATAGTTTTGATTTCCTGGTATATCACTGCATTGACATTATTACTGTTCATGAATCACTTTCTGCGCTATATTGCTACTGAAATTCTGGTCACATGTGTCTTGCTTTTAGGTTGATACATGTATGGTCTTAGTCTTTTAAGGCTGATTGTTTAACAGTAGTGTTTTCTTTGGTTCATTAATTGATCCAGCACTGTAGCATTCCATATGAAACCATGTATGTCCCTTCGGGACTTTGGGGTTTCATTTCTGGAAAATTGGATGATTCAGATTAGGCTTTCTCAACCTTTGGTAGTATTGACATATTGGACTGGATAATTCCTTGTTGTGGCTGATTACCCTGGGTATTGTTGATTGTTTAGCATTATCCTGGCCTCTACCCAGTAGCCGTCCCTTTTCCCACAAGTGTGACAACCAAAAATGTCTCCAGACATTGTCAGATATCATGTAAGGGACAAAATTGCCCTCAGGTGAGAACTACTGATACAGAGCTAAAACACCAGGGTCTTGAAGTTGGTAAACCAGGATTCCGGTTCTGGCTCTAAAACTTACCTCTGTCTGGTGACTCAACCTGTCTCTTCTGCTGCTGCTCTCCTTCTTCCCCCTTCTCTTCCTACTGCTTCACATCCTTTTCTTTCATAGTGTTGAAGGTGTGACATTTGATCCAAATTATAAAGTGAGGACTTAGGGGTGCCTGGGTGGCTCAGTTTGTTAAGGGTCAGACTTTGGTTCAGGTCATGATCTCAGCGGTGAGTTCGAGTCCCGTGTTGGGCTCTGTGCTGACAGCTCAGGGTCTGGATCCTGCCTCAGATTCTGTCTCCTCTCTCTCTACCCCTCCCTGCTTGCACACTGTCTCTCTCTGTCTCTCTCAAAAATAAATTAACATTGGGGTATCTGGGTGGCTCAGTTGGTTAAGCACCCGACTTTTGCTCAGGTCATAAAAAATAAAATGAGGATTTAATTTTTCCTAACTGCCCTCCTCTTTTATATTTCCTGTGGTATATCTTTATGTGTGTGTGTGTGTTTAAATTTCTTTTTCTTTTCTTTTTTTTTTTTACCATTTTACTTAATTTAGTTTTTAAAATTTACATCCAAATTAGTTAGCATATAGTGCAACAGTGATTTCAGCTGTAGATTCCTTAATGCTCCTTACCCATTTAGCCCATCCCCCCTCCCACAACCCCTCCAGTAACCCTCTGGTCTCCATATTTAAGGGTCTCTTATGTTTTTGTCCCCCTCCCTGTTTTTATATTATTTTTGCTTCCCTTATGTTCATCTGTTTTGTATCTTAAGTCCTCATATGAGTGAAGTCATATGATATTTGTCTTTCTCTGACTACTTTCACTTAGCATAATACCCTCTAGTTCCATCCACGTAGTTGCAAATGGCAAGATTTCATTCTTTTTGATTGCCATGTAATACTCTATTGTATATATATACCACATCTTCTTTATCCATTTATCCACCGATGGACATTTGGGCTCTTTCCATACTTTGGCTGTTGTTGATAGTGCTGCTGTAAACATTGGGGTGCATGTGTCCCTTTGAAACAGCGTACCTGTATCCCTTGGATAAATACCTAGTAGTGCAATTCCTGGGTTGTAGGGTAGTTCTGTTTTTAATTTTTTGAGGAACATCCATACTGTTTTCCAGAGTGGCTGCACCAGCTTGCATTCCCACCAACAATGCAAAAGAAATCCTCTTTCTCCGCATCCTCACCAACATCTGTTGTTGCCTGAGTTGTTAATGTTAGTCATCCTGACAGGTGTGAGG